CTATAGTATATATGCCATGTAAGTAGTGTGGCAGAACAGGACAAGAATTTTGCGGTGAAAACCAACATCATGTTTGTAACAAATACTTTAAGACATTTTATCTTTCAAGTCCATAATAATGCTTCCTCCAGTGAAAAAGTGCATCTCCTGTTGTCTCTCACATCGCAGCCACATATTTGTTTAGAGCTGTTTTGGCTTGTAAACGGTGCTTGATCTGTGCAGATTTCTCTCCTGATTCAGACCAGAACACCTTTTCACTGGAGGAAGCGTTATTATGGATTATGGACTCATATTTTAGTTAAAAACGTCTTAATGCTGGATTTGTTTCAGCTTTTGTCTTCTCCAGATGTTAACTGATGGACTGGAGTGCTGTGGATTACTTGTGGATTATTGATGTTTTTATCAGCTGTTTGACTCATTCTGACGGCACCCATTCACTGCAGAGGATTCAATGGTGAGGAAGTGATGGAATGATACATTTCTCCAAATCTCAATCAATCAATCAAACTTTATTTATAAAGCACTTTAAAAACACCGAAGTGGACCAAAGTGCTGTACAGAAAATTAAAAGTCATACAAGACATAAAATACAATTAAAACACATTGAGAGACCATAGAAAAATAAAATAAATAACCAAATATCAAAAGCATCGTAAGCTTGAGACTGCCAGTATATTCATTTATTAAATCTGATAAAGAAACAAACTCATCTACATCTGGGATGGCTTGAGGGTGTGTTTCTTTTTTATTTTTGTGTGAACTACTCCTTTAATAAATGAATATACTGGCAGTCTCAAGCTTACGATGCTTTTTGGAAACGCAGCCAAGGTAAGTGATAGAAACGGCCAGAAAGACGCGTTTAGGATGAAGTTACGGCATCTAGCAGCAGAAGATTTCTGGACCATGATAAGCAGCCAAACCCAGTATGATCTGTCAGGTACGTGCCATTTAATTCCTAACACTTTGAAGGCCAGCGGTTCCCTCTCGAGCTTCACTCAACATCGCAGAGCTTTTTTCTGTTTATGGGAACTCCTTCCCTTCCAACTTTTCCTGAAGTCCTATTGGCTCATGGCAGTTTAATTGACTGGCCAATTGTTGCAAATTATGCAAATCGCATGCAAATACTGACAAGCTCTAGAGGTAGTATAAAATACTGCCCCTCGCCAGGAGCTGGATGTGTGGAGGAAGGTGTGGGGTGTGGGGGGGAGGAGGTGCCACGGCCAGCAGAGGAGACTACACCACGACTCCCGCCCGCTGTCAGCTGCCAAGCCGTCGTCCTAACAGCCCGGAGAGGGGGAAGAGTGCGAGAGCGGCCCATCCACCAAGCGCCTCAGAATTGTTCAAATTTGTGTTTGATGAGCACGTGTTTTATAAAAATACATACATTCGCACAAAAAGAGCTTTTCCCTCCTCAGTCAATGCGGCACCGCTCGCCCCGCCGCAGAGCCACCACCCACACAAGTTATAGCCACGCAGCACTCGCCAGCGCATCCAACGACCAAGCCGCTAAAGCCACTATGTCAGTTCCTGAGCACCACTAGCGTAGCCAGGAATTACAATGTGGGTGGGCCCAGAGAAAATTGGGTCGGCCTAGCCTAAAATACATCTGTTATGAAAATAGGCCAACACAACTAACAGTTACACCTGCTTGAATTTACATCACCGTTTAATCAGAGCATGTGTTAAAAAAATAACGATAAGAACAGCATGAGCACGGCGGCCACACCACACACACGTGCATCTGACAGACGCACCATCATCAAATCAGCAGGACAGTAGTAATGGACAGTATGTAAAACCCATGTTTGGTCATAGTCTGGCTCAGCAGCCACATAAACCACATGAAATAAACAACAGTCACTAGGCAACTAACGATAGGAAAATGTAGATTTTTGTACCTGTACACTGGCGTGTAGGGGAGGTAGCCTTTAGAGAATGGAGCGCTGCTCGTGATGGCGAAATATGTGAATTAACGTTAGCACTAGCAGAGGTGTTCAGCTCCTTGAGTGTGGAATATGCGGGGACGTTTCATTCATACTCGAAGCCAGAGGGCGCTCTCGCGCAGAAAGCTCAAAACGGACTCATAGAAGTAACGTGACGTGCCAGGAAAACCCTAATATGGACAAAGGCATATGTAACGGCATCCAGCGATCTCTACTGTAGCTAAGGGGCTGTTCGCAAACTTATCTTCAGCATTATATGGCAAACAAGAAAAAGCAACAACACAATTTATTTTTATAGGTAAAGTATTGTTATTATTGCAACAGAATTCACAATGATTAGGCTACCTTGTGAAGCAACTGACTGGGTGGGCCTGACTGACAGGGGGGGGGGCAGCGATCTCTGCTGTAGCTAAGGGGCTGTTCGCAAACTTATCTTCAGCATTATATGGCAAACAAGAAAAAGCAACAACACAATTTATTTTTATAGGTAAAGTATTGTTATTATTGCAACAGAATTCACAATGATTAGGCTATCTTCTGAAGCAACTGACTTGGGTGGGCCTGACTGACCGGTAGCTACGTGACTGCTGAGCTTTCACATTCAAATAGCTCCGCATCACAGAGGCTTTCTGAGGTTTGCTTTCAAGGGCACAGCGTACCAGTACTCTGTTCTCCCGTTTGGGCTGGCTTTAGCTCTACGCACTTTCTCGAAGTGCATGGATGCAGCTCTCGCGCCCCTCAGAGCGAGCGGGATGCGTATTCTCTATCCGGATGATTGGCTGATTTTAGCGCATTAATGGGACACGCTAGTCAGCCTTATAGACACACTGTTTTGTCACTTGGAGTCCCTAGGGCTGTGTGTCAACATGCAGAAGAGCATTCTTGCCCCGAGTCAGTCCATTACATATTTGGGAGTGTGTTTCAACTCGGTGGAGATGCGCGCCCGCCTCTTCAATGCGCTATTTCAGGCTGGGCAGCTCTGTTCACTTGAAGGAATTTCAGAGGCTGCTGGGACTCATGGCAGCAGCAGCAGTGGTATATCATCTGGGTTTACTACACATGCGCCCGCTGCAGTTATGGCTGAAATCTCGGGTCCCATGGAGGGCATGGACTTCGGGCCGTTTGCGCATCGCGGTCGAAGCTCTGAGGCCATGGCGCAACCCGGATTTCTTTAGCCGGGGGGTTCCCCTGGGCTTGGTGATGTCGCCCGTTGTGGTCATGACGGATGCATCGACTGCAGTGTGCGAAGGCATGCCGGCTTCGGGGCTGTGGTCAGAACCTCAGAGCCAGTGACACATAAACCACTTGGAGCTGGAAGCAGTGTTCTTAGCTCTAAAGGATTTTCGGCCGCAGCTATAACAGCGGCCTGGTACTGATTCGCACCAACAACATGTCTGTGGTTTTGTACATAAATCACCAAGGGGGTGTGTGCTCCATGGTGTTGTACAAGCAGGCAGCGAATCTCCTGTTATGGGCGGACCGTCACTTTCTCTCCATCAGAGCAGCGCACATCCCCGGTCTCCTGAACCGCGAGGCGGACATGCTTTCGAGGAAGGGGATGTATCAAGGAGAGTGGAGGTTGTTCAGATACTTTGGGGCTGCTTTGAACAGTGGAGGTGGACTTGTTTGTGACGAGCGAGAATGCGCATTGCCCGCTGTTCTTCTCTCTGTCTCACTCCCCGCTGGAAGGAGATGCTGTGACATCGTGCTGGCCAGCAGCCAGGCAGTATGCGTTTCCTCCGATCAAGACATTGCCACTGGTGTTATGCAAAATCAGGGAGGAGGGGGCTTCGGATACTCGTCGACCTGAACTGGCCGAACCAGCCTTGGTTCCCGGACCTGACAGAGCTGCTGGTGGCACCGCCCTGGCCGTTCCCCATCAGGTAGGATCTGCTGTCTCAAACGAGTGGCTCGGTGTGGCACCCGAACCCAGAGATATGGAGCCTTCATGTGTGGCTGCTTAAGGGATATCAGAGGAGCTGCTCGCCCTGCATTCTCGTGTGCTTCACATACTCTCGGCGGCACGGGCGCCCTCCATGAGGCGTTTGTATGCTCTAAAATGGGGAGTGTTTGTGGTGCTGTGATGTTCACATTAACCCGGCGGCTTGCTCCGTGTTGGATGTTCTGCATTTTCTTCAGTACAGGCTGGATAATGGATGTCCGGCATCAACACTGAAAGTCTATGTGGCCGCTATTGCCTCGTTTCGTTTCGCTGGGCGGGCAATCGATCGGTAGGCACGTGCTGGTGGTGAGTTTTAAGAGGGCGAGGAGATTGCACCCCCTGCGTCCGCCTTCAGTCCCTCCCTGGGACCTAGAGGTGGTGTTGTTAAGAGCTCTTTCACAGCCACAATTCGAGCCTTTGGCATCCATTGCTATAAAGGAGCTATCTCTCAAGACTGCATCGACCTCGCGTGATGCTGACGCTCAGATTCGGTGTGCCCCGTCAGGGCTTTGAGGATTTGCATGCGATTTGCATACTTCACGACAATTGGCCAGTCAATTGGACTGGTGTGAGCCAATAGGACTTCAGGAGAAGTTGGAAGGGAAGGAGTTCCCATAAGCGGAGAAAACCTCTGTGACGTCTCGTTCCCGCTCTCAGGGATCCGAGGTTATGATGGTAACCGGAGACGTTTTGTTATTTTAACAACTAGTCAGAGCTCATTTTCCTGGCATTTGTAGCATGTCAGTGTGTGTGTGTGAGTGTGTAGTGTGTGAGAGTAAGTGTGTAGTGTGTGGTAGTGTGTAGTGTGTACAGAGCCATCCTTAGGGGGTGCAACTGGGGCCCCGTGGCGAACTGACCCCCACCCCCACCCCCCTGGATCGGGAACGGAATAAAGGGGAGCAAAAGTACACGATGGCACACGGATTGCCTACCCAGAACGCAATCATGAACGGAGCCAGGGGGGTCCGGACCCACCCTACCTTGCACCGGGCCGCGTCATCTAAGGACGGCCCTGAGTGTGTGTGTGTGTGTGTCTGGCAGTGACGTAGGCTGATGCAGTCCAGCTGCGGGAGTCATTCAGTCTGTGCGTCTGCAGATGCACTGGTATTGTTGCGCTGGAGCTGATGCTCATGTATTTTATTCAGTGTGAATCACAGCATGAGTGCGGCGTGTCAGCGGCAGAGGATCTCCAGCAGGAGACTGTAGCCCCGCCTCTGCAGCCCCATCTGTATTTATAGCTTATTGCAACAGCAGCATTCAGTCAGTTAGTCAGTGAGTGAGTGAGTGAGTAACTCTATAGTGTAAGATCATCAGCGGGTCTCTCAGCTCTCTCTCTCTCTCCGCATCCACACCGGACCAGCATGACGGAGACTGCGTCAGACCCCGCTCCAGGCGCCGCGGAGGAGCCAGAGGCGAAGCGGGAGAACGGCGACTGCGCAGCGGACGCGCCGCGGCAGCTGGACCCCCCGGAGGGCGGCTGGGGCTGGGTGGTGATGCTGGCCTCGATGTGGTGCAACGGATCGGTGTTCGGTATCCAGAACGCGTTCGGTATCCTGTTCGTGTCTCTGCTGAAGGAGTTCGGCTCCGAGACCGACGAAGATCTCCGCTTCAAAACAGGTAATAACGCAGGAGAGCGAGCGATCCACGTGTGTGTGTGTGTGTGTGTGTGTGTGAGCTGCGAAGTGATGCATTACACCGCTTCGCCTGCTTTCGAAACAAAGTCATGCAGAAAGTACGGTGCTTTAGTGGCAGGAAATCGCATTGTATTTAGTGCATGTTTTTCAGGGTAGATTTATTTTCGAAAGTCAGTTCAGATCCTATATGTGACCCTGGAGCACAAAACCAGTCATAAGGGTCAATTTTTTTAAATTGATGTATGGTTTGTTAGGATAGGACAATATTTGGCTGAGATACAACTATTTGAAAATCTGGAATCTGAGGGTGCAAAAAAATCTAAATATTGAGAAAATCTTCTTTAAAGTTGTCCAAATGAAGTTCTTAGCAATGCATATTACTAATCAAAAATTTAGTTTTGATATATTTACGGTAGGAAATTTACAAAATATCTTCATGGAACATGATCTTTACTTAATATCCTAATGATTTTTGGCATAAAAGAAAAGTTGATAATTTTGACCCATACAATGTATTGTTGGCTATTGCTACAAATATACCCCAGCGACTTAAGACTGCTTTTGTGCTGCAGGGACACATATAGGCACAAACCTACAAGAAAACCTAGACCAGGAAAATATTAACGCGTGTTGTGACAACATGGGGATCTATTAGAGGCTTTTCAGCTCAAGCTCTGTGAAGCACAAAACAACCCGTGGATGGTATTATGATAATATAAAAGATGTTCAATCATTGTTTTGGCCAGCAGAAATAAAACCTGCATAAGAACTCTTGCTTTGACTTGACATTGTACTTAGAAAACACTTCAAGCATTCAGTTCATATGTGTATGTCAGTTGCTGTATCAAACTTTGAAAACCAGAGATGATGATGCAATTCTAGTTTAGAGGACAGACTCAGTCCCATTTTAGACAGTTTTGGCCAAGCACTGCCAGAGAAACTTTAACAACTTCACTGTGTGACAACTAGCCCCATGTTCATGTTCCATGACAGTGTAGTTATACCAAGAGAGGAGCAGAGCTGTATGCATTTATGAGCCGACATGTTGTAATTGTTGAGTTATTGTTACTGAGGTGAATGCAGTGAAATGAGATTTTTACATCCCAAACGATCAAAGCTGTTTGACAGATCACACTAGAAGACTACGAGGAGCGTGTGTTTCCTTCTCAGTCACGTCACGCCAGTGTTTCTGTCAATGATTCGTTTACCCTGTAGATCACTCGTTTACTCATTAAAGTGAATATACTCTCACTTCACATGACTGCAGGAAAGTCTAGAAGCGTCTGTGATGCTGTCGGTGGGGTGATAGTTAGCAGAAGGCCCAAACCAGTGATGAAGATCTGATGCTGCTGCAGAGACGTCATACAGCTCTCTCACATGCCAGGGTTTCTTCAGCTCTTAAAACTGTATCAGAAAGACAAATTAAAGCCTTAGAAACTCTGAGCAGAAAGTCTTGAATTCATTAAATGTTACATGTATTGCAAAAAAAAAAAAAACCTTCCTCTATATTTTTTCATATAAATATGCAAATGTTCTTAAATCAAGGTACATTTATTTGAGATGCAAAATTAACATATGAAGTCTTGTTTCGTAAATTGAACCAAATAAAGCGAGTTGATGCTTTAAACAAGAACTAATATTTGAAATTGGGTATGAAAATGTGTTTTCCTTTCAGTGAAGCTGATTTTTTCATTGCCAGATATTTATTCTTGCTTTAAGCATAAACTCACTTCACTTTGATCTAGGGATGCACCGATACCACTTTTTCCAGTACTCGCCCGATACCGATACTTTTATTTTTGGTACTTGCCGATACTTGCAATATTTTTATTGCATTTGTACTAGGGGTGGCACGATACCACTTTTTCAGAACTGATGCCGATCCGATACCAAAAGTTCTTAGTATCGGACAATACCGATACCGATCCGATACAAGCACAGTTTAGTTTTTTTTCTATACTTAATATTTCTGTATTATTTTTTTAATTTCTATATTTCGATTATGTGTTGACCTGATCATCACTCTTTTGTGTTACACACAATCTACTAAATATAGACAACTTCATTATAAAAAAAAAACAAATTAAAAAAATATATAATCATAATCTATGAGAAAAATACTATTATAAACTAGGTTAATGGATAATTCAGCAGCAAAAGTTAATCTACAAAAATGATGAGTTCACAATAATTTTATAAAATCTAAACATTTAGAGAAAAACATTATTTAGTGGGGGAAAAAATTTAAGTAAATTGGTGTAATCTGGTAAAATGTTACACATTGCTCTTTGTATTGTAATATACATTCATGAAAAAGTAAATATAATTATATATAAATATATGCAATAAATTAAATACATTTCTTTTACATTTATAGCACAGTAATGAGGCATCAACATATGATAGATAAGACAGAACAAGAATCAGAATCAGAATCAGAATGAGCTTTATTGCCAGGTATGTTTACACATACGAGGAATTTGTTTTCGTGACAGAAGCTTCCACAGTGCAACAGAATGACAGAGACAGAACAAAAAACACAGATAATAAAAAATAGAACAAGTAAATAAGGAATAAAAATATATAAATTGACAGTTGTATGTGCAGGTATATTACAAAAGACAGTTTTTGTATGTACAGGTACTGTATATTATGTGCAAATTTGAGGTGTAGACTGAGTATGAGTGTTAGATAAATAAGTGTATGAGTGAATAAATAGTGTGTGTTCCACAGTTATTGTTAAGTGTTCATGAGATGGATGGCCTGAGGGAAGAAACTGTTCCTGTGTCTGGTTATTGAGACACAGGAACCAATAAATAGTTAATAGCCAAGAAAGGCTATTAACAATCTTTCATTGCACAAAATTAGCCTATTATAACATGAAAGGCTCCAATACGGAGCGGCACCAAGTGCTTATGTGCATCCCGTGCACAGAATGATGCGCTAGAAGCAACACGGAGTCACAGCACTACGCATAGAGAAGCTCAAAGCACAAAGCGAAGAGGGTTTTGATGCGTAGTTTATTATATCTGTGCGATAGTTTATTGAGCCTTTTCTTTTAACAGTTTTAAATTTTAGTTACTGTGTGCGTGAAGAACTATTCATAGTGCTCTGTACGCCAGTGTAGTTAACTCTAACAGACACCCGGTAGAAAGTAACATGATTTAGAATTAGCACTAAACTCCAGCAAGATAAAATCCTTATATGCAAAACCATTGATCTTTATCTGCAGATCAAGTATAATAATAGGAACATTGTATCATCCTACAGAGAGTTTCGTCGTGTTGACTGTAGTAACTGAACGCGATGCGCAGCTTGAATGCTGAATGGAGGATGACTGACAGCCGCAGCGGAGAAGAGTTTACGTGAACTTGAATTTAAGGACTTAAATATTAATCTGTACCTCACATTAAAGTATGGAACAGCTTCAGAACACTTGAAATATAGTGCATGGAAACTTTATGGTGCTTTATAATGTTTTGTGCCTTTCGTGGGGCTTAACAAAAACACAGAATAGTATACGCACTATATCGGATTTGGATCAGTCTTGTCTGACCGATACCCTGATCCAGCAGAAAGTGGCAGTATCGGAGCGATACCAATACTGAATATCGGATCAGCGCTCCCCTAATTTGTACATTTTTAAAATATTGGGTACAGAAACCAAAAGAGTATGTATAATGTTAGTTGGCTAACTTCATTTATCAAACAGATACAGTCAAGCCAAAATTTATTCAGACACCTTCAACATTTCTCACATTATCACAGTTTATTCGCTATAGTTTAGAAAATGGTAATAAAATATGACAAGAACTCAGAGTTAAACTGTGTCAGAACAAATTCAGCTTGATTATATTTTTTAATTTATTCCTTCCGTCTTCATGACTTGGTTTTTAAGAAGTCCTGAAGCTCTGTAGAAGATCTGTAGAAGATCTGCAGAAACCAGCAGAGGCGTGTGAGGAGATTGGGATTGTAATGAAGCGTGTTGTGCTCAAAGTCATTAACACAACAGTAGAGCAAGTCTAGCTGTGAAACGCTCCTGCCGTTGTCATCTGCCTTCACAGACTCGATCTGACTTGAACAGTGCAGTCAGTCAAACCAGTGTGTTCATTCATTAAACGTGCCCTGCGTAGCGCTGGTGAGGATTGCGTCATGTCCAGCTGTCTGTGCGCACATCAACACGGAGGTCAGAGGTCAGTCGTCTCCTCACTCCGTCAAGAGCAGAAGCAGCTGCTGGCACATTTGATATCCCAGTATCCAGCTTTATCCACTTACACGACCAGTCAAACGTTTTTGAACAGTAGGACTGTTAATGTTTTTAAAGAAGTCTCTTCTGCTCACCAAGCCTGCATTTATTTCATCCAAAATACAGCAAAAGCAGTAATATTGTGAAATATTTTTACTATTAAAATAACTTCTTTCTATGTGGATGTGTTAAACTGTAATGTATTTCTGTGATGCGCAGCTGTATTTTCAGCATCATTACTCCAGTCTTCAGTGTCACATGATCTTCAGAAATCAGTATAATATTTTTGCCCAAGAAACATTTATTATTATTATTATTATTAATAATATTTAAAACAGTTGAGTACATCTTTTTCAGGATTCTTTGATGAATAGAAAGATCCAAAGATCAGCATTTATCTGAAATAAAAAGTTTTTGTAACATTATACACTCTACCATTCAGAAGCTTGGAGTCAGTATAATTTTATTTTTGGGGAAAAAATTGTAGAAATTAATATTCTTATTTAGCAAGTATGCTTTATATTGATCAAAAGTGATGATAAAGACATTTATAATGTTAGAAAAGATTTATATTTCTGATAAATGCTGTTCTTCTGAACTTTCTATTCATCAAAGAAACCTGAAAAAATTCTACTCAGCTGTTTTCAAC